AAAAAAAAAAAAAAGAAAAAGTGGGAACAATGTAGTGTTAGCTGTTAGCACCTCAGGGAAAAAGGACTGGAGATAAAAATAATTGTGTTATAACAGTGGCGACTATTCCCCCTTGTCCTGCTACATCCTTCCGCGTTATCTTCGCTGATCCAGGAGTTGCGGACTCTCAAAGGGGAAATTTAAAGAAATACACTCGATTTTAATCAAAGGCGCTTCTATCATGCCAAAGCTTCTATCATGCCCAGCTTCTATCACTCCAGTTAATCAAAAAGCAAATTATTTTTTTTTAATTTGTTAAACCTCCACTTGTCAAACATTAGTCCACCGAGGATACTTTCTTCCTTCTGGATGAGCTTTAAAATGCCATTCGCGGCTAGGTCCGCTAAGGCACGTAATGCTATTACGGTTAATAGAGTACCCATGGTGAAGGTAGCCGTTTTATACTTTTTCTTTTTTCTGCTAATGATACTTAGTTGGTTGTCTTTTTCGTAAATTTCTCTCAAAAGCATTATGGTGCGGGAGTCGTTCATATCGTCCTTATTGTTGCCGCTCGTTAGGAAATCATCTGAAGGTTAAATAAAGAAGAGTGTGTAAACATTTGTACATATACAAATTGGCATTTTCGTAAAAACAGGAATACAAAATGAAACAAATTATGAAACCTAAGGTTTACACGCAGATAGGACGCAGATATGAAACAGATATGACGCAGAATAATAGTTTTTCACGAAAAGGCTTTCACAAATGGAATGGTTAATTTTTGCGTGAGATTGCAATGAAAAAGTACCATAAGCAAAGGGAACTTAACCACGTCGTTTACATATCGAAATGGATGCAAAACAATGTGGTGTAGAAATTACTCTACATTTATAGCTATATGCCGCATGCTTGCCCATGTCGCGCAGCCATATGACATGTCGACTATGAACTTGTAGTGCGCCCTAACATAACGCCACAATTATTATTCACTATTCTTACCTTTATCTTTCTTGTTATCCTTATCCCTATTTTTATCATTGAAATCTTCATTCTTTTTGGGAGTTCCTTTTCCTACAGTAAATCTAGATATCCATATATCCTTTCTTTTATTAATAAGATTATCCCCCTTTATCACATCGCCAAAGGTTATCAGGAGGAGAAGGTTAATGACAAGCAAAATCGATAATTTATGCTTCATTTTTTTTTTATTACAGTGCTTTTTTTTTCTTCTCTTTGTTACTACGTATTTTTAATAAATAATGCGATTCATAAATTTCTTGAAAAAAATTATTAAATTGTTTGTTTGTGAATTTAGAAATTTAGCAGAATACACGTTCGCGATAAGTTTTTGTTCTTTTTATCTTTAAAGAGTAAATAATAAAAAGAAGGGGGGAAAAAATAAAAGAAAAAAAAATTTAGATAAAAGGTGATCCATCAATGGGTAATTCTCTCAATAGGTAGTGATGAACATGAACACTAAAAAAATTTATAAAAGGGTTTAAATAATTGTGTATAGTAGAAGCTTAAAAATAACCAAGAAAAAAAAAAAGCAATAATTGAAAAAAAATAATAATGAATAATAATAAATAATAATAAATTATTATAATATACACCCAAATAATGTATACCAAAATATAGTCACGGTAAAATTAAAGATATGCATACCAATTACGCGGTGATTGTGCGGTAAAATGGCAAATAATGTAAATAATGTATAAAATAATACGCGCAGTAAAAAAACTATGATAATTTTTTCCTCCACATGCACATATACATATGCTCGTAGCGCGCACGTATTAATAAATATTATAGCGTAATATATTATATAATTATTTGGTGCTTACTTTCTTTTTTCTCGCTTCAAGGAGAAAAGAAACTATTCCCATTATTTCAAGTAAAAATTCATATAATATACCTTTCTGCATGTCACGCGCACAGTATATTTTCTACTTCGCGATGTATGATGATATACTAAAAATAAAATATTTTTAAAAATAAAAAAAAAGGGAAAACCCCAGGGGTCCAATGCTCATACGGTCAAACAGTTAAATTATTTTCTTTATTCAGGAGCACAAAATGTGAAAAAATTGCAATTGTTTTATTTTAATTAGGGCATAATGGCGAACAATAAACTATACAGGGTGAATTGCAAAAGGAATAATTATTCTAAACTGATGCATTCTTTCTAGCCGTTATTTTATGCACCCAGAAGGCTACATACTTGTAAGTATTCTAATCTTCTGGTGTGTCGGCAGGCTATTTTCGCATTATATATATATTACATCATTTATGGGCTAAGTGACCACGGCGGTGTTTTCCCTTCCGAGCCGCGCGCAACAATTACCATATGTGCTACACTTTATTTATACTATATATATAATTATACTATATATATTATATATATTTATAATATATCTATTATGTCCACACGTATGCCAATTTCTACGGGGTGATTTAAAAACTCCGCAAATATTGAAGCGGGTTTGCCAATTAGGATGGAAAATAAATACATTATACATACTGCATACGAAAATATATTATATACCTTCATATTTATAATAAAGTAGGATTACTTCAAATTGATAGAAAAAGGCGCTAATTTTAGGACTATCAAAAATTAATTACTAGAAAATTACAAATTAGGCATTATCATTCTTTTCCTTTGCTTCTCCCTGTTTGCCTACATCTAAAAATAGGTCCAAACGCGCTTAGTAAAAATGTGAATTTATTAAATACGTATTCGAGACAGTGGGAAAAAAAAAAACTTTCCGTTTTCCACAACTTTGTATTACTAAATAGTGCTATAAGGAAAAAAAAGTAGGCACCTTTTCCTACAATACTATGCAAAAGAAGGATAAAACGATCCCATTTACGTAATACCATTTCGTCGTCCTTTTGCTGCATATTTTGTAGGAGCACAATAAATAGTAATAATAACTCCCTTTGGCAAATTTCAAATTTGTTAGGTCGTCCCCGTACCTCTGTATCGCTAATTGCTAATCGCCATTGCTAATTGCTAATCGCTATTCCTAATTGCTAATCGCTATTCCTAATTGCTATATTGATTATATCGCTGTGCTGCTACATTTCCTTCTTTTTTTTTCTTACCGCCGTGCTACCACATGTGTAACATTTTCCCGTGGCACTTTTTGAGCAACTCATTTTGTTCATTCCAATAGAAGGAGTAGGCAACATGATGAGGATAGCAACTACCCTCGCCATTCCTTCTTTTTATGTTCTTTCTAGCAAAAATGCAGTGGGGACACCTTATAAGCAAGTCTACTCATTGCATATACATACTCAGGTATAAAAAAACCATTTAAATTGTAATGTCTCTTGAAATGAGATGTGCGCGTAATGTTCTGTCCCAATCAATGTATCACCCATCACGTGTAGGGATAGTCAATGCAATGACTTACCGGCAAATTTGAGAAAAAAAAAACCCAAATTAACACAATTCTACAGAGCAAAGGCAAACCTTCCAAATAATCCTTTTGTCCCTCTTTTTCCGTTCCACACAAAAAATAGAATGCCTCGAAGACGTCACATATGGAAGAGAGAGCGCCTCTTATTTTCCCTAGGTATATATGTTTGCCTTCAAAGCGGTAGATAATAATCGATACCATAGATGTGAATCTTGTTGTCCCTCCTTCACTTCTCCCTTTCAATATTGAACGACGGTTTAAATCAGACAAATTAATTTATATTATACAATGTTTAGAGCATGCATAGGCATACGCTAAAAATACGTTAAAGAAAGAGACGCACCCACAACCACTTACATGAATGCGCCCTCCATCATGCGCTTTATTTTTCCCAAAATCATTGCCCCCTTCCTCTCCCTCCTTATTATTTTCTTACTTACTTTTCTTTTCTTTTTTTTGTTTGTAATAATATTCATGTGAAAAATACTGGAAACAATATATGTCATGTGTAGAATATATTTTTTCTCATCATTTATAGAAAGAAAAGTACATTGTCTTTAATACATTTTTCGTCAAATTTTTCTTTTTTTTTTTTCCTTTTCACCTTGTTCCTTTACACAGCACAAGATCAAATCTGCAAGCAAAATAACAGGTATGTACAGTACGGTTGTCTATACGACGCCTCATGTAATACCTCACTGCATAACCGCATAATGGCATAATCGCATACCATGCATAAGTAAAATCCAAATGGGGATATATTCACGCACATAATTGACACAGATGTTAACACTTTTGGTGTCTTCTTTATCAAATCTCATAATTCTCTAAGTCCAGATGGGGCGTCAAGGGGTTATTCTAAAACTGTTATATTAGCTGCGTAATATAATGCGACCTGGTGTATAATGCGCAAGATAAATATTAACACCATACATACGCTAAAAATTAGACAATATGTCTTCCCCCACAACGTAGGAAAATCCTCAATGTGTGTTTTGGAAACCCTTTTCTAGTTCCTTAATTAATCATACACAGTGAAGGATCAATCTCCCTTCTGCACATAACACTATTTCATTCGAATTGTTCCACGTTCTCTGGCATCCCTGTGCACTCATGTGTATACACTGACCTGTGCACAATTACATTGCCATTCACACGAGCATATGGATATTTGCACCGCGACATATACAAAAGCACACTTACATAGAAATGCTTGCAGTTCGATATACACGCACTTACATAGAAAAGCACACACTTCCATATGCACACACACCGTTAACATATCAGCGCGCTTTTTCGCTAGCTGTCCAAAGGAGTCGATAATCTGAAAAAATGCTTAAAAGAATGATAGCTTAAAGAAGACCTTAGCTTCACTCCCCTTTTAACCCATTTATCCCTTGTGCATATATCGTACATAACGGTTTAAGAGCACAGTCTAGAATTTGAAAAGGGGACTTCCTAATGAAGGTGGTGAATGGCAACCCCATAGAGAAGTAAATGAACTGTACAAGCGGAAGAACGGAATACTTTATAGAGTGGCGGATAATACGCTTCTTAAAAAAATAATTATAAATTGTTCAAAACTTAGAAATAATCTACCTACCGACTTTATTTTACACTTTTCCCATAACATGCCATCATTGAATTAACGAAGAAAAATAAGAAATATTCTTACACATGTTGGCAGAGACTCTTTTTTCGGCATTCCATATATAATACTACCTTAATCACCATTCTCATTTTTACATTTTTTTTCTACAATCTCATTTTTTTGGTAACTAATTCTTCAAATGAAGTTTCCCCTTTGGCTTCTTTACAACGCCTGCAATGTAAATCATATGAAATTAGACAGAGGAAAAGATTAGAATACATTCCTCTTTTAGCTAGCTAACATATACATGTGCAAAGCATGTGTGTAAAATGTGCCAAGTCCATCTCATGAATATTAATCCGAGATTTTGTGCCGTGAAATTGGAAAAAAGGCGGCAGGCCAATTTCACAGGGCTATTCTCCCGCCGAAAGCACTGGAGACCTAATATACCTTTATTAATGATAAAGTAGCCTAAATATAAAATCACAAGGACTAATCCAGCCTACTCACTGGTTCACCTGTGCTGTAATCCCCAAAATAATTGCTCTACTATACTACCAAAAAATGGAACGTTTCAAAGGCTTCCATCCACACTGCAAATGCATACAGCTTTATTTTATAGTTAGCAGAGCCACACACACCCTGGGGCTCCTATTTTTACACTTAGACATAATGCACATATAACGATAATTGGATCTTTGGCATATAATATAGCCTCACAAAAGCTTACATAGGAAAGTGCGCACAAAATGATATACACGTATTGTACACATATATATTGTTGTGCACATCAATTGGGTCTTATTTTCTTGGGCGGGAGGAGGGGCCCTAAACTTTCCTATCTCCTTAAAATAGCTTGAATTTCACAAAATTCCTTTTTTTTTTAAACATGGAGGAAGAAGAATTAAAAAAAAATAGCTAAAATTGAGTAACCATTGTGGAAGAAATATATAAATGAACCAAATCTCATATATAGTGTTATTTGTGTGTGTTGGAGGGGAAGGTCTAAAAAACTGCAATTTTTTTCAAATTTGCATGCGAGAGTTTCCTACATATCGGATTATCATATTTTGGCACCCATTCGTTTAAAAAAGTTAACTGTTAAAAGTATTGAAAGTAGCTAAAGTGTGCCTTTCGGCTTTTTGGCTTTGACTGCTCTCATATTTTCACCACTGCTACTGCCCTACCACTGCACTGCGCAGCGCACACAGTTGTAACATTAATAAGAAGGCGGAAAAATCCAAACTATCCAAAGGATTCTTTTTTCACACAGCCTAGGAACCATTTAAAGAAAGGGGTGTAAACTACAATGATGAGGTCTCTACCTCCTGCAATGGGTGCTCTATATCCATATATATATGTATATATATACTTAACAGCCATACATATTTACGTATACACAAATTGTGCAATGTGCCACATCGCACACTGTTCCTTTTCTTTTTCAAGCATGTATCCACTAATAAACGTTACAACTATATACAAATATGCAAAGTTGTAATAATGTGCACAAACACAGGGCTCATATGTAGGGGACAACACACAGATCAAAACGCGGTAGACACCTCAACACCTTAAGATCGAATCAATGCACAAAACAGCTTTTTTCCGCATTCATAAATGAACGATCGCGAATTAACCATGAGGATACTATGATGATGGGTTTACAAAGTCAGCACATCACACCACCACTGCCGCTGCGCGCGCTTCCCTTTCCATATATTTTGCTTTATTTTTGGCATAAATGGCACAAAAAAAAAAATTAAACTGAGTAATTCCTTGAATGTGTCATATATATTACCTTCCGAAGCATTTTATTTGTTTTATAATTTTCTCCATGCACATAAAATAGGACTATATTCATCTTCACGTTAACTCAGGGTTTGATTGGCTCCCTTTGTTTATAAATCCACAAAAAAGAGTGAAGAGCACGAAAATGTCATCCCCATTACTTTTTTATGGCGAAAATGTCACCTCCATTACTTTTTTATGGCGAAAATGTCATCCCCATTAATTTTTATGGCGAAATTTTAAGGCCGCCACGCAAAAAACTTGTTTCGTTTTTTTGGTTATTTTAAAAAAATCTTGGAAAAAAGGGACATATATATAAGTACGTATAATTCATTTCACCCTTCAATTGTGCAACTAATTTTTTATCACTTTTCTCTGACAGCAAAACGCGCACTCCTTTTTTTTACTGTACCTTTTTGTAAAAATTGCAACATCCATAAAATTGTGCACGAATGTGGTTTGAGCCTATTATGCATTTATATACACCTACCAGTTGCATGCAAAAGATTTTTTCTCCCCGCCCGCGTACTTATTTACTATGTATACAAATCCGCGTCAAAAACACATGCCTATAAAATAAGTCTACATGCAATTCAATGAAATCCAGTTAAAAAGTTGAGTAAAATATTCCCCCCATGAGCAAGTTTTGTAAATATAATTAAACAGTGTTATAGTAAAAAAAAAATACCCACCGAACCTACCTGTATATATCTTCCTGGTTTGTTCCTAATATTTTTTATATACGTAATAAATATAACAACAACCACGTTTGTACCAGGAAAGAACAAATTTTGAAAATTATCGCAGTATTGCAAAATATCACAATTCATAGCAATTTATGCAATTTTTGGTAATTATAATATATGTCATACTCATAAAAGAAGTCACTTTTGTGCAGAACGAAGACCACCCATTACCCATTCACAATAAAATATACGCGATTTTGAGCATAAAAAATAAAAGAAATTTTTTGAAAACCAGACCCCCACAAAGCAACCACAGTTAAGCCAAATAAAGTTGGTTATATGAAAGAACACCTATATGAACACCGTTATATATGCATACATATTATATATGCAATTTACTTATGCATTTATATATAAAACCCTCGTTTATGAAGTAATTTTCTTCCCCCTCTTTAGTAAGACTGACAGCTTTTTTTTCATTCTTTATTTTTTTTCCGTTCGCCACCGCTTTAAAATCAATATGAACGTTCGACACGTTTCTACAATGATATATAATTTTTATTACACGCTATATTACAAAAAGTTCATCAAAAAAAAAAAGAAAAAGGATTAACTTAAAAAAGTTAAGTAGACACAGAGAGAGACCCCACCCCTTCCTTTGATGCTAATACCTTCACAACTTGTAAAGTAAGGGGTAAACAGAATTATCCATAGGTAGTAATTATATTTTCATGCCTATATCTCTCTGCTCTTACCGTATATATATGCCACCAGCATGCACCATATTAAATAACTGCCCCCCCCTCCGGCTCGTGTGTTAAATCGTTATGCCTGCCCTTGTTTTTGTAGCGCTGTATAAAACATAACTAGTAACTACTACACGCAATATATATACACATATCCCATAAAGTACGTATATCCACATAATATAATACCACTTATCATTATACCACTTATTATTACATGTAAACAATGCACAACACCACCACACACCCTTAAGTACTCATAGCAAACACAAATGCAGCCTCATTTGAATTTGCACTTGCGTAATTAAAGCATCGAACCCATTTGTAACTCCGAAACGTAACACTCCTAAACCTATATAGTATAACTTATAATTATTATATACATTTATTTATATCCCTCTATATATTTGATTCCCACATATTTGATTCCCACATATTTGACTCCCACATATTTGACTCCCACATATTTGACTCCCACGTATTTGACTCCCATATATTTCATATCAATAATAAACCCTGAAAAATGGAGACGCGAAGAAAATACTACTACTATTATTACTACTACTATTTCCACTCCTTCCTTATTAGTATTGGCACCCTACTCTTCTTCACAAGTACATTTATGATGTGCTCATCGTCTCAACTTGAGCCGGCCCCTAACCCTGATTCTACCTCCCCACCGGTACATTTACTACAAGATGAATATGCACCTACCTTAGAAGATATATTCGGTCCGCACGCCTCACAAATTATGACAGGGCTCTATGAAATAATAGACGAAGATGCCACAACAACAGGTGGTTATGCAAACAGACCGGATGATGACCAATCCAATCAGAGCAATACCAACGATGACGCCGTTCTGCTGAGCTCTTGGAGCAGCGATAAAGATAGCTTTGATGAGTTAATGGAAGAAATCGATAGCGATAAAAAGAAGAAAAAAAGACGTTACCCATTAAGAAGAACCATATTCAAAACATCGGATAGCTCCGATTCCCTCAGCGATTATGAACACGAGGATGAGATAGTTCAACAAACACAATACGAACAACTACAAGAACAAGAAGAAGATTTAGATCCATTGTCTGATGATTCGTTGTCTGATGAGCCATTTGAAGTGATAAATCATCCTTGGAAAGATAAACTAGAAAGCTTTTCATGTGATACCAACCTAACGAATGAAGATGACCCTTACTCATTGGAAGAACTCCAATTAGATGATCCTGCAGAAAATGTGAAATTTGGAAAGCTCAAATTCTTTGGAATGGAAGACATCGACTTGTTTAAAAAAAAAGAACCTATCGCGCCTACTACAACCGGAAGTAACTTAAGAAAAAATGGCAACAACTCAGAAGCATCTCACATAAATCAGCATGAACATGAAAAAATGGACAGAAGGAAACGCAGAACACATAGACACTTTAAAAATCCAATTGAATTTTTTTCAGTTACTACCACCTATGACATGTTCTTAAAAGAAAACGGCTTGAGAGACCATCCGTCGAAACATCAGAAGAATATTGGCGAACCTTTTCCACTGAACCAATATTACTATAGAGATGCTAAATACAATAACGCGAGACATTATGTATTAAAAATGCTCTATGATAACCTAAGGGGCCTGGGTCAAAAGGAATATCAATATTTAAAAGAAAACCAATATGAAGTCCAGGATTTTATCAGACGAATTTTAAAAACTAGTTTCATATGCCTCACATTTTCGCAAGAAGCTCAATTGTTTAAGGATGCTAATATGTTGATAGATAAAGCCAGCATCAAAAGTATGTATGCATGACAATATAATATATGTGTCATAAGGAACTACCACCACACTCCGAATATAGCATAAGACGAGTCCTTTTTAAAAATGCACACAATTCCGTTACACAGATATGCACTCAATTAAAATTTCAAACCTAAACGAATAATCATACACCTATATGTATGTACTCTATTATCATTAAAGCAATGGATTCGTTCCGTCCAAAAAAAGAGAATTATAAATAATAACGGCATTCCCTCCAAATGAATATATATACATATAGAGCTCCACCATTTTTGCCCCCTCCTGAATATTTACCCAAACACGTTCCGCATATTTACGGCGAGTCATGAAATATGTGTACACCTCTCCCTTAACCGTTATTAACTGACCGCAATATAACCCAATGAAATACGACCATAAAACAATGCATCCCGCATTTCGCAAAACATAAGCGAACCTTCGGAAACCTCTAATTAAGAAACTTAGCCAATTTGAGCAACCGACTTGTATAAAAACTGCTATGTGCTATTTATACATCGACAAATGTACACGTGAAAATTGTCTGTTCACATAAACAGTGTTTGTAAAAGTCCATCGTTACTTTATACCATAGATTAGCACAATAGGAATTATTTCCCCCCCCCCATTTTTACTTCTATTTTTTTCCTGAACAAGATTTCAAATTTTGACCTATGTACGCTTTCATCAGCATGTCAACTATGCCTCCTAAGGGGACGTATATAAGCACTGCCGAGATTAATATTTAACCCTTCATGCATTTTACGCTCATTTTTTATTTGTAATTTTGTCATAGTAATTAAATAGCTTTACATATGAACACAAAATACCTTATGTACAAATCTGTCCTTGCCTCAACTCCCTATTTGTAGTATGATTACATTTCATAGTTCTCCACCTTCTTCTGACTATAACCGATAATCGGAACATTCCTTTTGCTCTGCACAAATGAACCCTAACCCTATTATGATACAAAATTATCAGTAATACTAACATTAAACACTAACATTGAACACGTACCTTAAACACGTACATTAAAACGAACATTAAAACGAACATTAAACACGTACATTAAAACGAACATTAAACATGTACCTTAAACATGAACCATTAATAGAAACATTAAAACGAACATTAAACACGTACATTAAAAGGAACATTAAACACGTACCTTAAACACGTACCTTAAACATGAACCATTAATAGAAACATTAACCCGAACATTAAACACGTACATTAAAACGAACATTAAACATGTACCTTAAACATGAACCATTAATAGAAACATTAAAACGAACATTAAAACGAACATTAACCCGAACATTAACACGTACATTAAAACGAACATTAAAAGAAATATTGAAACACCCATACAAAACAAACACGAACATTAATCTGAACATTAACCCGAACAACAACACGAACATTAAGCTTAAACCGACACGAACTTTTAAACCATTTCCCTCACACCAATCACAATCACATCAACCACAACCATACCAAGCATTTCACTCACGTGAGTTATAACCAACCACACCAATCACAACCATACCCATCGAAACCGCACCAACCGCAAGAACCAGCCATCAAATGGATCGCTCCAAAATATTGATTTATTAAAATTGTACGCGCACTAACATAAAGAGCCGTTGGGCTACTTCATATCGTTATGCTTCTTTCTGTTGTTGAAATTTTCTTATATCACTAAGGATAAGCCTCAACAGATCGTAAAACAAAGTTTACTTTCATGTTTACAGCACCTCGGGATGAAGTTAGTAGTCTACAAACACAGATAAATCTTTCTTGTTGTTAAAATGTTATTTAACACTACTGATTTGTGTACGTTTTTGCAAACGTCACGCACAGTACTATGTTAATAGGATTATTTATGCATGCGAGAGCGGAAGCATATATAATTTCTCTTTTACATCGACTGTAAAAAATTTGTTACAAAAAAGATCGTGATAATATTGTTTAATCAGCATGGGTTCTGGCTTAAGAGGCGTTCAGCCATTATCCAACAGACTTAGCTTCGCAACACTGGTTTGTCAACCAATTGCTGTACCAATTGTCTGAACCAACTAATCCTCTCGTACCAAGTTGGATTACTGTCACAATACTACATATATATATATGTAAATAATGATATTCAT